GTCGCTTGGGTCACGCGAGCCGCCGTTTGGATTGTTCTCAGATTCTGTGGGGACAGCTGTTGGGCTTGATCAACAAGTCAAGCAAACACTGCCCCTTGGTTGGACAAACAAATATGAGTGGCACGGTCTGGGTTCACAGTTTGCTGAATCGTGAAAGTGGCCGCGGGTGATCAATGAGCTTGGCGGGGCTTGGTGACACTATTGCTCAGGACATGTCATCCAGGGCGCACAAGCCTGGACGACACGAAAGCGTCTTGGAGAGATTGAGTGGCCGCGGAAGCCGGGCTATCTGAAGACCTACTGTGGATGAACGAATTCATCGAATTCCTGCACCACTTTGAAACCAGACGAAACCATGGTTTCTGCAGGATAATTATCATTCCAGGGTTTCTTAGGTGGTGCAGGATTTCGTCCATCCACAGTAGTTCATTGCTTGGATTCGGCTTTGCCCTGGTCGCGACGCATTCCCACGTTTCCTGCTGTGGTTCTTTAAGTGCGCGCTGGTGGTGGTGAAACTGGCGTTTCGCTGCATACTCCATTGTTATGCAACATGTTGCGTCGGTCAAGCGCGTTAAATGTGCGTATAGCATTAGCCGCTTGCATGTTTTGTCTTGTTTCGCCAGAGGTAGTTGAGCGAAACTCATGGTGCCAAGTAGTGTCTCTTTCCCGCTTGAGCAAAAACGTCTAGAGGTGGACATATCAGCAAAAAAGAAAGCACCGCACTGCAGCGGCGGAAGTCTTTTTTCCTGCGGAAGGGACGTGGCTGACACCAGAAGTGAAGGTGCCAATTGTGATGTTCTAGATGTCCGACTTGAGGTCGGGTGAGGCATCGAGCACCACTAGAAGCAGCGCCCAGCGTCGTCTTGAAAGGCACGCCCGCGCGCACCGATGGTCCAGGACTCGTGTGGCAGTGGGGTGTAGGAATGTTTCACCACTTCAAAGTAGGATGGGAGACAGATAAGCTTTTTGAACCAAACACAGTGCTCAGCTGACAGGGCTGCCAGCTGCAGACGTGGCAACTGAAAGCCCCGCCGGCGCGGCCCACTGGCGCTACGAGGCCTACGCAGCGCTGAGTCGAAGCTTGGCTGCCGCAGTTTGGTATTGCTGTTTTCCTTTTTGTTTGGCGAGTCCTGCATTTCAGGCACCCCTTAATTGTTGGTTTGGAGCAGCCGAATCGCTTCATTCCAGAGTCTTTCCGCGGGTTCATCATTTGGGTCCCCAATCAGTCAAAGCCTTTGGACAGCTTGCACGGATTGCATTTGCACGTGACTCATGCAAATGCGAGGAGCTGGAATGCGACTCAGGCAGCAAGTGGGCTCCAGCCAAATAACCAGCTGATACGAATGCAGGGGCAAGCTGCCAAGGACTCACCTTACAAGGAGTAGCAGTGAAATGGAACGGGAGATGGTTCAGTCTAGACACTTAACACACAGATTCTGTTTGTGTCAGAATGCATCCTGGCGCGCAGAATCCCAAGTCCCTTCACTTCCAACCAGAATACCAGTGCATGATGCTCCGGGCCCGAATGTGCATGAGGATTTGGGGCTCGAATTTGCCCCCTTGGCATCAAGGTGTGCGGGGTCATTTTTGGGAAGCTCTGGGTTGGGTGCTGAATGCACTATCCGTTTGTGTCTGCTGAGCGTCATCGGTCTTTATGCCCAAGCACCTGACCCACATATCCATGATCATTGAGGGCACACATGTCACATATGCACACATAGTTACGCTTCCATTACATGCACAAGTCAATGCAAACTACACGTGCACATATACGTATGTAGTAGTAGTACATATGCACAACATACACACATAAATACACACACACACATAACATATTTATATATATACATACAACACACACAAATATTATATATATATGTGTGCATATGAACATACTATCCTTATACAATATGCATGTGTGCTCGTGAAACCCGGTTCTGTTTTTGCTGATGAGGGCTTTCCAGCGGTACCAAGGCTCGAAGACTCTTTGACTGAGCAGTGACTTGGTTAGGTGCTAGTTGAAGGCTGGTCTTAAGCGAGCCTGTGCACGCGACCAATTGCTTTCAGGTACGCAGGCGCATTTTAACCCAGGTGGTCCTGTGTGCTTTTGCAACCCGAGGGGGCACACAACCTCATGCATGATGCATAGTCCTCCTCAGCATCCTCTTTTTTAGCCTGATTTTAGGACTTCGAGTCATCACGCAAATTGTGCAGATTGACTGCATCGTTTTCATTGGGCACACGAAGCAACCACTTTTTTTGCTATCCAGATTGTCGACAAAAGTCGCAAGCCACGGTAGTGCCGGGTTCCGAGACTTGGTTTGATTCCACCACGGACAGGGCGCAGCGGTTCCACGTTGCTAGGGTTGCTTGGCAGGGCCCGTTCTGCAAAGACCAACTCACGGCCCATTTTCACCACTGTACCCTGGCACCTGGCACTTCTGTTGTGTCACCAATCTTTTGCGCGCAGATCGCGCGGTCTCACACATGCCATTTTCTGGGCTCTTGGTGCGTGACCAGAGAGCTCAGCAAGTTGCCCGGACGCTCACTTGCCCAAAGCAACTTCGAGCCTTTGACCACTTAGCTTCAGCAAATTGTTGGTCCAGTTGGTCCATGTTTAGTCCTAGCTCCAACAGGTTTAGCCTTTGTTTCTGGCCCCTTTGGGTCCTTTGGGCTGACAAGGACTTGGCGCCTTGTGAGGCAGACGCAGTTGCGCATTGCAGCGGTTTTCAGCTGGCAGTGTCGCTGGAAGAGCTGAGCCCACTTCATTGCCGCCGGTTCCACGCTTTCAGTGATGTATGTTCGGGTGGAGTTTTTGCGCCAACCTTCTTTGTTGATGTCCTGACATGCTGTCGCACACTTGTCAGAATCCTAAGCTCTTGAGAACTGCTTGCCTCAGTCCGACGGCCCCAGCTGGTCATATGTTTGGAACAATACCTGACTATACATGCTAGCGTTGGGGTCGTGGCCATGATGGCTTGTCCCAGACCCGTGCCAGAGCTATTGCCAAGCAAGACCCTGGGCCCTTGACTAAGATTCAGCTTGTCGTTGGCAATGATTCAATGATTCATGCGGGACCTTTTTTGCCAGGGCTGCAGGGATGGCTCATAGTTGGTGTTGCGGCGGAGCTTGTAGGTTCTGTCTCGCTTGGTTTCTGTTCGGGAGCAGGGTGTGCCATTAAACTGCCTCGTGATTGTGCCCGAGCCCGCTCCCCTGAAAGGAGATGTAGGACGTTGCATTCACTTACGCAAGTCGTTTTGCGGCACAGTGGGTCCTTGCATTGGCTTAGGTGTTGGCCTCATGGATTGCTTCAAGAGCGTTGAAGGAAATGTTGTGGACTTTCTGCGAACCCAAGCCTAGAGCCTGCCGCTAGCTCCGTCCGAAACGGCCCAAAGGTTGGCATAGATTGACATGCTTCGACTTGAAGATTTGCAGCATCGCACGTCTAATGGGGTTCAGATTGCACAAAGCGAGCGATCGATGCGCCCTAGGACCAAAGAGTGCTGAGGAAAAGACTCTGAAAAGTGCCCTGCCACCTTGCAGCGATGCGCACACGTGTTTGAATGTGAGCAGTGGAGTGTAGTGGAGTAGTACGTACATATATCTGCCAATCGTTCTAGATGCATACGTTCAAACGGCCCAAGGAGTTTGACGAATGACTTCTGTGTTTTGGCGTTAGCCAGCCAGCCAAAGAGACTTAAGTAAGCTAAACTGACACACAAGCAAACTATGTTTGATCAAGCTAGCACAATCCAACTGACCAACTACCTTTTTCATGGTGTTTTAGCTTAGCACGTATTTATCCCACACACACACACAAGCAACATTCCGAAGTTGACCAGACTTCACTGACTGACTACGCACAAAGAAGGAATAACAAAGCTCGACTGACTTGACTCACCGCATTAGCTGGTTCAATCGTAATTTCATGGGAACACAGCCATGGACTGAGGTTTACGTCCACTAAACTAGACAACTTACCTCGGCCAGACTAAGTGCACATGTGCTCACTACGCTTGCAAAAACGAGGCTGAACCAACCGGAGAATGCCAATCGAGACTACGTTTGACTCAATTCAGCTCACTACGCTGACTGCATTGACGAAACTAAGCTGAGCGTCCGATTGTCTAGTAAATTAGCTTGACTTGGGATGTTTTACGCTAATAAAGTTGGCGAAAGACCAACCCAACTAAGCCAAACTTACATACATGTGCTCAAAACCTCTTACCAAACCAAACGGACAAGCATATGTTATGCTCGCCGAAGCTGGACAACCACACTCAAGTAAGCCCGACTCAGAGCTACACTGGGCTGCCATGGGCTGCCATGATCTTAATTCACTAGGACTCATTCGGCTCTGCTAAGCCAAGCCGAGCCAAATCTGATTTTATGTGAGATCGCTTTCTGCTGCCACGCTAAGCACACACATTTTAAGTTAGTACGCTAAAGCTTATATTCATGCCTTTTTTGGTGAGCTTAACTTGTCTCATTACTTAGCTAAACGAACTGCATCGACCCAGAAGAAAGCTGGACCAAACAAACTCTAGAACGGCAAACCAATGGCTGAGAGAGACCCGAGCTTGCATAGTGATGCTGAACCTGATTGAGCCTGCCATGCACACTAAATTTGCCAAAAGAAACCCCAATCAGTGAGCTAAAGTGACATAGGAAGAGCAAAGCACGCAGCTAAACGTGGCTGAACTCAATCAGCTCACCATACTGCTGATTGTGCCTGATTGTGCTGAACTAGGCTAACACAACACCTTTCGCGACTAGCTCAAGCTGATTTGACTTCAATCCACTTGGCTAGGTAGGTCCACCCAATCAACTAAAGCCGGGCAATACAAACAATGAACACCAGATAAACTGGCTGGCTGAATGTCTCCGGCTGACTGGCTCGCGGACTGAACTAGTTTCGTTTTTTGTTTCCGTTTGCTTCAAGGCTTGCGCCCGTGACTTTGCAGGCAGGGCATTGTTACGGGGTTTTGTCCCTGGCCAAGGATGAAGCAAGATGAGAAGGAAATGATCGCTCGAATGGAGCGGACGCCTTAGAAGATGAGTGTGTCCAGCCTTCAAGCTGAGAGATGCTATCGAGTTCATGCAGTCATGTTTCTGATATCATGGAGCTGGAGCTGGTGATGCATTGAGCCTTGCTGCAGGGCATTCCGCGCGGAGTGCGACCAACGCATGAAGGAGGATCCAGCACTGGGGCTTGAAAACGCGTGTTCTCTTAAGCAGCCTGCTAGCCACGGCTGCTTAAACTTTGGTCTGGTGCGTCCCCAAGTCCCAAGTTGGCTGAGCCCATGCCGAGTGACATCGCGAGATGTTTGTTTCTCAGCCAAGGATCCCTTTGAATCCTCCTTCCGACTGGTCGAACTACAGTATTCCAGGGTGCTTACACGTTGGTGTGCGTATCGGTTTCCAAAAAGAAATGGGTTGTTGTGCAGCTCGCCCAAGTTGGCTCATCCATTTACGACATGTGGAGCAGTTTGCCTCCCGGGAATTATTCCGTATCATTCGTTTCCTCCACTACGAAGCATGTCACCGTCTGTCGAGTAAGACAATCCCTGTCTAATCCGCTTCCGCTTCCGCGCATATCAATCAGGAGAGTCCGCGCTGAAATGGGGACCCATCCCAATCATGTCAGCGACCGCGGCGTAGCGCAAGACTTCCCCTTCACTGCAGCTGCACCCATCTATGCCAAGCATATCAACGTTTATTCAAGAAAAGCCTTCTCCAACTGCAACTGCCCCCATCCAAGCGCATGCGCAAATTCATTGCCCAACATTTGGCGTTTGTGGTCCGGCTGGTACGGGTTGGGCCCCAGGAGCAAGAGTCCATGGCAAAGATGACGCAGGAGTTGCATGACCGGGCGCATGAGCAGGCCATCCAATTCATTTGCTTGTGCCCTCGTGATGCATCAATGTTCTGGCATTGCAAACGCTTGTAGCCGAGCAAGTGCTCGCCTCCAGCCACTTTCCCAGATCGTTTGCATCTCCGACTTGATGTTGATTGAGGCCACCTCCTTCTGGCAAGGCCTTAGGACGCTACACTTGTTCTCAGGGGCGTCCGTCCAACAGACGCAACGGTTTTCGGATGCCTCAATGCGGTTGCCAATGCGGTTACCAACGTTCTTCTTATAGTCCCAGACGGTGCAGTTTCAGATCTCAACAAGAAACGGCTAGAAGCGACACACGTCCTGCTACCGTTGTTGTCAAACACACCATGTGGGACAAGCTCATAAGGGATACCCCCTCTTCAAAGCCAGGCGTAAGAAACTATCTCGGATGTTATCGTGGCCTGTGCGTTGGACAGAACTCTTTGCAGTTTGGCCAAAGAATCCCTCCCAAATCCGTCTTTCCAGGCTTTGACCTGGAGGGGCGGAGAGTCTTGGCCACGGTGTACATGGTGTGTCTCAGAATATGGGTGCCAAAAAGTTCGGGTGGTTGTCCGATTGGCTTCCCTTTGGTTTCTCAACATGGGGTTACCTTTTACTCTTTTTTGGGGCAGGGTTCCTCTACTAAAATAGGCCACAGAAAAAAAGGGTACCCTTATTCTAACCTCTCTACTCAAAGACCTAGTTTTGGTACCAACCCGAAAAAGAATAACCTCCAAAAAACAAGCGGTCAGGTGGCCAAAGAGCAGCAGGCGGCTGAGCGCCACATCCAGGAGATCCGGAAGCACACGGAGGAGGGGTCAGGGACATGGGAGGGGCGATCGAGGCTGGGTGCGTCAGGTAAGTGGTTGTGATAACGTCATGGTGGTTGTAATAACCATGAAGTTACCCACAAAAGCCATGGAGTTGTAAGTCTCCGTTTAGTGGGTAACCAGGCTTGCTATCCAATTACCTGACGTACACCCCTTTGAGTAGGGCAGACGTGAGATGTGGTGAGGAATCCGGCGCTTGAGATTGCCGCTAATGGAGCAGTTGGATAGGATGTACATAGATCATTCTAGTCCATTGTCGTGCTGTAGAGTTTCCACTAGCTAGTAGCATTTTGCTGCAGGCTCTTCTGCAATGCGATGCCGCATCAAGCGAGCATGTGCCTTCCATGGTTACGTTGCAGTGGAACCCGGGTTAATAAACCAATCGGAAAAATTGGGGGTGCCTGTCACCCACAGAAGTGAAGGATTCCTGCTGAAAAGGGGCACCATCTATCAACCAGGGGGTGTATCCGGGTTCATGTATATTCGGCTGAAAGTGGTGTTGGGAAGCCACGAGGCCAATCACGTCATGATTCGAGAACTCACGGATGGCAACTTTTAGTTTGACAAAAGTCTGCTTTGCATCGCTCAGTTGCTGCAAGCTGCTCGTTTGTTCGTGGTTTCCGTGTTTAGTGTTTTCTGACACGGGAGTTCCACGCCAATCTGCTGTTCCCACTTTGCAAGAGGGTTCCACCACCCCCACACCGCTACTTGTGTACTTACCCTTTGTGGGGTGGCTACATCTGCAGAATGGTTATACGTCTGGATTGGTTGTTTGGAAGTTAGGGGTAGCTTCCCATTTACCCTCTAGAAGAACAAGGGGTTCAAATTTCCAACCACCAATTCAAACCACCAATTAGGGGTTGCCTGACAGAACCTCTCAGATTTTTGCACCCTTCAGATCCCGCACTTCTCGGTTTTCGGATGCCAGGAGCAGCTCCAGTCGGAGCGGGAAGTCTCTGACAGTGTGAGGCGTGTGCTGGCCTCAATGACCAGTCTGCCTTTGGCTGACCCACAGGCCAGACTATTATCAGGTACCCCTTTGGTGTTTTGGTTGGGTGGTTTGGTTTGGTGGTTTGGTTCGGTGGCTTGGCGGGTTTCAGCCCCAGACCTTTTGGACGCAGAGAAGGCATCTTGTAGCGTCCAAACTAGCGACCCAAGCCACTGGGGGTAAGGTCATAGTCGAAAGCCCGCCCGGTAGAGGTAGCGTACATTCCGCATTTCACTCGAGTCTGACATCCTTCTGACTGGGCAAGAGGTGTTGAGATATTTAAAGTGTTGGCGTGCTTTGCTGACTTCTCTTTTGCGACGTGGCTTTGCAGATTGGTGGCTTTTTCGATATCCGTTCGCAGCTGTGGCTTCAAAGTGAAATGACCAAGATACTTGGGCTCGCCAGCCTTGTAAGGTGCAGGCTGGCCGTAAAAACAATATGCCCCACGAAGCCAGGTGTTTGGCGACGGTTTCAAGGCGCAACCTCACGTGAGAGCATATCAAGCAGCTGCTAAGCACTCAGCTTCAATCTGCATGCCCTCCATCGGCTGCATGCGCTGATGAATTGGCCCCCTGGCTTCGGCAAAGCGCCTTCGTGTCGGGTGGGCGCTCGGTGACCTGAGCAGATGGCCGCAACCGACCGGTTGAGGACACTGCCGTGAGCGTGTGCAGATGGCCTCAAATCGGAAAGCCAACGTATTTCATATTTGGTTATATCTTCATGAGGGCTCATTGGCATCCAAATGGGGCTTTGCTTGCTGCATTGTGCCATCGGAGTGTACTTCTCCATGCAGGCAGGATAGCATGTCACCATAGCAAATGACAGCGGGGCTCACACCACTGTGCTCAATGCATAGCAGCAACATCGCTGGGAGGCAAATGTTTAGTGCGCAGATTTTGGCAGATGTTTGTTTTAGAGCAGCGATGCTTTTACCCAACATCGAACAGCCGTAATTTGACTTGTCAGTGTCGTTCTTTTGTGTGACGTCATGCCGAGGAAGGCGGCATCCGATTCCCATCAAGAGACTGTCCGTCCACGATTGCCTTGCCGGCCAAGATTGAATGCTGTGCACACCATGGTCCATCCACTCGAAAGGTGCCACTGTCATCTACTGATCGTCAAACAAGCTTTTTGCCTTGGAGGCTCACAGGGTTACCAGTGGATGCACCCTTCGGCCATGATCCTCAATGGTTTTGACGAGGCTTCCCTTGATCCTGCTGTTGCTTGCCAGGCGGGGGGCCACGCCCCAGATATCAGTGTGATGTTTAAAGGTTGGATCCCCAAAATGGCTTCGTGTTTTTTCTTCTTGCGTTTTCCTTTCAAATCGCAAGAAGGGGGGCCACCAAATTAAGACGCACACATACGCAACAGATGACTTTGATAATTTACTGCCTGCGGTCCCGCCTCGTGGCTTTGTAGTGCCAGGCTGACGCAGTTGTCGGGCGTTGCCGGCAGCAACTGGAGCTTGCTAACCCTCTGTGAGGAAGGGGACCTCCCTGGCTCAGAGAATGGGGACGCACCTCGGCTAGCTGGGGAAGGGAGGCCAACGGAGGTGACGGAGGTGGGGCGTCGCCCAGAGCGTTTCAAACCAAAGCCATCTGCTCGAAACAACATTGCTCCAATTCCAAAAATTGTGGGTCAGTCCCAGGCTTCAAGACTAGGGCCCTCCATATTCGCCCAAGGGTCTTGAAAGCGGACGTGTAACCACGTGACGTCAATGCCGCCTTGGTGAAAGGTCTCAATTACTTGTGCTTCTGCAGTCATACTTGGTTTCAACAAAGTCGGCTTTTCACCGCCAATGGGCCAGTTTCAATGTGTCGCCTATGTTTCTTCTATTGTGGCCTCATTTCATATCTCCTGCTTCTCGCAGTGTCGTGTCAGGGGCTGACCTCAAAGAGTGGAGCTCTTTCCTTTCCGACACCATCCGATTCCATCAATTACATCAGCACTAGTGTTCTCGTTGATGATTGGCCGTGCCCAGATGAAAGTGCAGAGGCTTGACTCTGGGTGCTTTCCCCTTGGACCCGTACGAAGGACAACGACCTCTCAGATATTGACAGCACGAGCGAGGACGCTGGTATTGCCAGCGGGGGGAGGGGTGGGTGGGGGGAAGAAATGAAGCATGTGGAAGGGGCGCCTGCCACCAGTGAAAAGGCACAACCCCGCAGGGAATGGTACCTCGTTCTACGGACATAACTCTGGGCTGCCAGAACTTTGCTTTGGCGCGCGTTTGCTCGCCTTCAGGATTCGCATAAACCTCGTTGGGTCCGTTGACATTGTCTTAGTTGCTCGTGCTTCTTGGCTCTCCAACAGTGCCTCCAGCTCACACCGCCCCACTTCCAAAGCAGTTGCCGGCATGCAAATCAGCCAATGCATTACTGAAAGCAGTGGCAAGACTAAAGCAGGTATTGGCAATTCTCATGTGTATTGGCAATAACTATTGGCAATATAGAACTGACTATTGGCAATGCGTCAGATCAGATCTGAATTGGGAATCCCCAAGTGTGCACGGGCAAGACTTCAAGACCAAATTGTGCATTCCGGATGCCAGATTTGGTCTCGCCCAACTCGAGCCCATTTGCAAATCCGACAAAAGAAAAACTTGTGGAAATCTTGGACTGTTGGGACTGTCTAGCCAAGCCGGAACTGTCGAAACCAACCCGAAGAAAAAGAAGCTTCCAGCGCCAAGCAGTCGGCAGTTTTTGCGGGACTGCCCTAAATTGGCACTCCGTTGTCAAATGTGGAGGTCGGCCCATTTTGCACAGTAGCTCCTAGGTGTAACGCATTCACAGGGCAGAATGCGGCCAGGAAGGCAGCCACGACGTCACCTGTCTTGGTGCTTTCTTTCGGGAGCCTGACCGCGGTGAGCTCTCCTGGGACCAGGCACAGGCTGCAGCCATGGCTTTTCTGTGAATGACTAGAGCCAGTGCGCGTGGGCATTCCAAAATGGGCGCCTGGCCAATCAAACGATGTCGCTTGACATGTCAATATGTCGTTTGAAGTTGCGAAGCTTGCACGCTTCAGCAGCCCGAGCAAGTGGAAGCCGATCGCCTTTTTTTGAGCGCATTTTACCGAATGCCCTCTTTCACAAGTTGCCACAAGCACGACAAGCATGTGCAATTGGGTATGCAGGGTTGCTTCTTTGCTATGACTCACAATCCTCCTTCGCAGTGCTACCAGCACAAGCTTTTTGACCAGCTGCGGCAAAAGCAGCTGGCTTTCAAGTTTCAAGCACGCTGCGATGCGTACGGCTATGAAATTCACCCCCCCCCCCAGTTAAAGACCATTACGGGCAAAGTGTTGAGAGCCAATGGCAGGAAAACGAGGTTGTGCGCTTGAACCACTCGCAGTATGTAGCTTCAAGGTCGGAGAGAACATGGGACCCATAATGAACCTGCAGGGGTGGCCCATTTTTTGCCTTGCGCACCGTGCCAGGTTGTGCAGCCACTTGGCCGAACCAGCAGCACTGGAAGATATCCCTGGTTTGACCTACCGATGGTGTTCTTGGATCCCTCTGAGGCTTCAACTGAGGCAACCGACCCCTTTGCCGGCTTCGGAAGTGCTATCCTTGCTGCACGCTCAGGAGTTGAAGGTATACTTTTCCAGCTGAAGCATGTTTTAAAGGAACCTGAATACAACAAGCTCATACAGACGTGCCGGTCTTGCGAAGAAAGTTCTCTTTGTCACAGGCCCCTTAGAGCCGGTACAAGGTGAGGTGGGGGGTCTCGCTCATGTTGCCCGTTCCGTGGACATGCCTTTCTGTTTTGCGTACTGTAGACATCGACAATCGTGTCCGATGTTGCCCTGCAGGAAGAATGGGGGGTTGCAGTTTCCCTGGCACCGCTGTTGCGGCTCTCATGATCTCCCTTGTGAACGGATGTAGGGCCGTTACAGATGGTTGCAAGCCGTGTTGATTCCATTCCCAGCGAGCCGCTTGTGCAAAGCTCAAAGCAACCGCTACATTCGCCACCATGCAGGGTAGCAGCTCAGTTAGAGGAGTCGCTGAATTGTGCTGGTCAACATTTCTTGGCTTCACGCTTTCCGGGCCCCCGGCGTGCAAAGTGTTGCCATGAAGTCATCTGATCAAGCACGTGCAACCTGCAGTGGGGCAATGAATTTGACACGGTGCCTTCCTGCGGGCTGCAGTTTATACAGTTACAAGCTCGACATTGGTATAGTGAGGCACAAAGCTGCTCTTCTTTTTTGAAACCTGCGAACACTGTTTTGCATGTTGCCGTCTTCGAAGTCAAAGCAGAGCTTTCGAAGGTTTGGTTTTCCCAGTCTTTACTCGTGATTGCTCAAGATTCCAAAGCGTGTCCTCTCATGTCCGGGTTCTGCTGATAAGTGGACATGATCCGAATTCTGAATGTGCAAATCAGGTTTCTGAGTGCCCTCTTGCACCTCACCTGTGTCCTGAGGCAAGAGCGGACTCTGATTCGAAGCCACCTAGCTGCACCTGGAGTTGTGCGAACAAAGTGGTGTTCAAGCCTGCGCCGAATAAATAGCCAGCCCAGCTTGCAACTTAACAGTCAACCAGCCTGAGTGTGTGTGTGTGTGTGTGTTTGTCCTTGTCCCGCCCGCATGCGCACAAATGCTGCTTTGTGATTTTTGTTTAAACAACCCGTGTGGCCAACGGTGGGTCAAGCCTCAGCGTCATGGGCAGGACAACTTTTGCTGGGCAATGCCCGCCGTGTTGTTTTGGTCTTTACGTCGTGTTTATGAACTCGTGGCCCTTGTCAGTACGATTACTTCTCCGTTTGGCCACACCATGACGGCAGGTTTTTTTGTTCCTAACTGACCATTTAGTTTAGTTCTTCTGAATGGTTTGGTGCGCGGACTTTGCGAGTTTGGCGCTCGTCCCATGAAGGCCTAAACCAGCTTCAGAAAGGTTGCCTTTGGCTAGGGCCGCAGGCCAGATTAAAAAAAGCAGAGTTTGTGCAAACCAATGCAGCAGCACGCTGCCACTAAAGATCATACGGCCCTGC